AACAGTCTCGACACTCGTCGGAGCTTCTTGGAAATTTCCCATGATAATCGCCTCGGAAAACGTTTCCCCGAGAGTTATCTTGACCGCGCGCAGAAATGGCAGAACACGCTGAGCCCTGTAGCCCAAGAGGCGATCTACGTTGACCTCTCAATCACCTCGCACGACCCTACAGTCTGTCTCACATCACTTACACTCGTACGCCGCTAGTTACGGTCACTTCTCAGGCTCGTCACATACTGTAGTTCAGTTGACGTCATCATCCCCCACCTACTCACGCGTTTCAGCTCTCGCCTCTTCTCTTCTTTCCCACTGACCTCTCCCCGTCCTATCAGACTGCCACGCGTGCATCGAGCACGCTGCCCGCTCTCATCCACACATCTCTGGTTGACCACCCTCTTGCTCTTCCCAGGGCGCGCCACTTGTCAGACAAGTCCTCGTCCTGCTGCATTTGACTCCGTTTCGAGATTAGTCCTGTTCCCCCTCACTGACGAGCGCAGCAGGCTCACTCTCCGTTCTCGTGCACTACCTGCTAGATTTGACGTCAACCGCTTCTCTCCCTCTCACTCACACTTTTGTTGTGCCTCGCATACGCTTGCCCTTGCCCCGTAGCTCGTACCCAGTTTTGAATGACCAACATCCTCTCTCCCCGTACCGCTGCCTTACACACGTCCTTTCCCCTTGTTCTGCTGTCTTTTTGTTCCGCGGCCTATGGGCATGAGTTGTCGAGAGCTGGCCTCAGGTCCCTTTTCCACCGGCTCCGCGGCTCGATGGTGCYTTTGGATCTCCTCKGGTCTGTTCCAGGACCTGAGGTCCGTTTCTCRGTCCGCCTCGCTCATYTCACTCTCCCCGCCTGAGTCTCTCTCGTTGTGCTGTTCCTCCCTTGTCTCTGTCCCAGTGGATGACTCGGTCTCATGATAGATGACCGTCACCCTCAAGCCCACGGTCACCCCATCTCGTCTGCATCTCCGTTCCGTCTTGTCGCGCGCTTCGGAAATGGCAGCCTGCAGCCTCTGGTCAGCTCGCATCTCCTCCTCTCTCCCCCCTTCAATGCAGACTTTCAGCCGGACTACCTCTCCCCCATCATAGTTCAGGGCCGTCGTAATCTGAGGGCCTTTCCCCGACACTGGAACCCAGCGCACTATATGCCGCCAACACCCCGGCCTATAGCCGTGTAGTGCCATTGCCACTCAGGATAGCCGAGAACTTATTCTCCAGGCGTTCGCAGAGAGATAGCCGCTTACAGGCCCCGAAGATCCGCCCTCTCTCTTGTCTCAGGCCTGCAGCGCTAGTGCAGAGGAAACACCCTGCGACAGAAAGTACTCTGCAACTAGTGTGCGTACAACTAAACTCTCCTCCCCCTTTTCTTTTTTTATAGGCCGTAACTCTACGTACTAAAGGAAGAGACCAACTCTAGCCCCTTTTTGAATTCTCCTTCATATTAGCAGTTTTAATATTTCAAAAAAGAAAAGAAAAGCAAAACTAAATAATTTTAAAACGGAAACTCAACGGTCGAAGTATGGTCCGAAACCGCTATGCGGCTGCAGAGTCGCTAATCCTCACGACGGGACGGCGACCCAATCCAGTATCCCATAATGAAATATTGACAAGCATCTTCCTTCCCTCAAAACACAAGCGTCGTCCTATGCCTGACGGGTACCCGTGTCCGATGGCAAGGAGGGGGCTTATGACCCTCCACGAAGAGGGTGATAAGCCTCCTACCAATGCGGCCGCGGGTCGCCCTCCTTTTGAGGTCCTGTCGCCCGACGTCAGTTCGAAGCGCACCCGCTGACTGTATACATGGGATCGGCCTACTTAGGCCACAAAAAGATGGTTCAAAATCGAACCGTTGGCTTCCCGCAAAAGGACATGCCAACAGGTAGAAAATCGGACTTAGAAAACTAAATAATAATAATAAAAAAAATAAAATAACAATAATAACCACAGGGAAAGAGATGGGCTGCACAGAGGTCGCTTTCTTTATCAGGTCAACCAGAGTCCAAGCATACCGCTACCGATAGATAAGGAGGCCTTTCTTATCTTAAGAGAACGATGGTCAACTGGAAAAGAAAGGAAAAGGGTGGCGTCACAAAATCTCTCCGTGCACCAGCCTTGCCTGAACCACACCCCGCGCTTACACACGGATCTGGGGTCCCTTTTCTTTCTTTTCCCATTTTCCTTTCTTTTTAGTTCTCACTGTATCTGCCTCTTAACCTGGCCACCGGGGTCCGCACAATTCGGACAAACAGTTCCGGTAGGCAATTTTACGAGGGGTCGATAAGACCTAGACCATGAGATGACAGTCGAGGTCCGAGACCTGAATCGGCGGCCTTCCCTATAATGTGACAGATCAATCAGGCTGAAAACCGAAAATAGGAATTTTTGTGGTAATAACAATAATAATAATAATAATGACGGCTGTTCAAAATCGGGAAGGAAACCATAGCATCACAACGACCTGAGACCACCAGATTTCCCCGTATAAAAGAAAGCGAGTTTAGATTTGACGCTTTATTCTTCTCCCTTTTTTTTTTTTCTTTTTTTTTTTCCTCTTCTCCTTTCCCCGACAGCGACTTCTACCTCCTTGCACCTAACCCATAACTTGGCAACAGGGCATTCGGCGCGTAGCAGAAAAGACTGCGCCAACCCTTTTGCCTTTGTGTCCCAGGGCAGACCCGACGGCTACCACGGTTACAGGCCGGTTGTGCTCTGCTGTACAGCAGGGCGTCGAACCTGCGTGGACCAAAGGAAGGTCCCGTGGCGCACCCTTTTGTAGAGGGCAACTTCACGGGAACCGGTCCGCGCCGAGGTACAACCTGGATACTAGAAACAGCAGAGGTCCAAGACACTTCCATAGGCTGGAGCATCGGAGCGAGGACTGGTACCAAGCAGGGACTTGGTACACAGAGGAGGGCCGGGATACCACGCCCTCCGACACCGCGTGCGGACCTCCCTGCCCTAATTTCGCTGGGCCCAGCGGGAGCGTCACGCGCGGACCGCTTTTTGCTTTAAGGTATAAGAGATTGTTTCAAAGCCATGGCCGATCATATACTTAGGGTGATATGAGCATCCCCCAGTAGCTTCTCCGCTACGGACTGCTCCGATCTATTGGTGGTGAGCGCCACCTGCTGGAAACCGCATCCAACGTCCTATCTGGACAGAAACATGGCATAGGGGAGTTTACTGGATAAAGCTCAGGCAATACTACCAAAGGTGTAGATGAGAAATCACCGCACTAATCGTGCTACCTATGATAGTTGCCCCCCAAATACAGCAACAAGTCTCAGCGTATTCCAGCAGCCTGTTCAGCCCCCATTGGGTTGCCTGATAGACAGCGGCAACTCTGGTCTCCGCTTCCCTCTTCTCATCTCTTCACTCCTCTTCTCTTCTTCCCTCTTCTCTTCTACTCTCTTCTCTTCTTTTCTCTCCTATTTTCTCTTCTTCTCACTTCTCTTCTCTTCTCCTCTTCTCCTCTCTTCTCTTCGCATCTCTTCTCACTTCACTTTTCGCATCTCTTCCTCTCGTCTCTCCTCTCCCTCCTCTCCTCTCCTCTCCTCTCCTCTCCTCTCCTCTCCTCTCCTCTCCTCTCCTCTTCTCTTCTTGTCGTGTCTCTTCTCTCCTCTTCTAATCTCTTCTTCTTCTTCTTCTTCTTCTTCTTCTTCTTCTTCTTAAAGGCTCTAATCTATTGGTGGGGAGCTACACCTGCCTATTTTCTGGTGTCTGTTTTCCGTTGTCGTGTATTTCGTTCTCGTGGTTTGCGTTTCTGTCTTTCCCGACTGTTTGTTGTTGACGACGTGCGTTGGTATCCTCTGATTTTCTCCTCGATGTATTCCTGCACCATAACTAAACTCTTTGCTTCCCGTGATCCCGTTTTCTAGCCTCTCTTTTCGATTTGCAGTAACCCTGTTCAGAAGTAGCCTGGGGCCCAGAACTCAGCCCCAGGCAACGCAGACCTGAGTTGGTCTGCACTGGGCTGTGTGACCAAGACACGCCCAGGCCGGAGTCTGTCCCGTTTGGCTGTGTGACCTAACGCTGCACACAGAAAATTCAAAGGTCAAAGTCAACTGTAGAGTCAAATGTACCGCACCCAGGCCCTTGGTTGGATACATTCACTTGTTGTGCGCAGGTACCCAGACAAGCATCCAGGCCGGAGGGAAGTCGGTTTCAGACCAATTTGGGCCTTACTTTGCATCGAGATCTGGACGGCTGAGGGTGGTAGCATCCGGGGTCCAGACTCCGAGTCAACGCTACATAAGCGCTGACTTTCCTGGCTTTGACATTCATTCAGTCTTGCGTCAATGCTGACTTCATGCGTTGACAACGGGACGCTGGCTCGATGCTGCGACGCTGGTGGACGCTGGCTTTGTGCTGGCATTTGGGAGGTTGCGGCGACGCGCTGCTGGCTCGGCATGGTGGCTGGCTGGCTATTGTCTTCAAGGCATGCTGACGTGGCAGCTGCCACACGTTGTTTCTGACGTGGCTGCTGCTACATGGTCTATCTTCTAATTGGCTGGGACTATGGGACCGGCACTGCTGTTCTGATTCATCGTCACTTGGGAGGAGATCATGACTGTGGGATGATTGTGGACACGTACCTGGTTATCTTGAGGTCGACATAGCTCCAGTACGCTGATGAGGGTCTGATCGATGTGCCACGTGGCACACTGGAATAGAACTTAGATGTGTGTTCAGATTATTGATTATCTGAGATGGTGATCGAGGAGGGAGCCTGAAGCAGGAGTGGGCCTTGTTATTTATTCCTCTCCTTTGTCTAATCTCCCTCCTCTCTCCTTCGTCTGCGTATGATTATCCCATCTCATTCTATCTGGACACGATTCTGGTTATTGATAATCATCAGCGAGTTGGCATTCATCTGGGCTTGCATTGTTGACAAGTGTCTTCACGATCTGGGTTCATTGCAGATTCCCTACCTTTCATTTCTTGTGGTTTGCCGTCCTATCGTTTTTCCGAATGTTTGCTGTTGATGATCGTGCATTCGACAG